ATATAACTCCCAGACTGCTAGATGTCTCCTACATCAAGCTCTTGTTCTCTGAAATCAAGGAATGAGTTCTATGAATAACAGAGGTTCAGAGGAGGAAGAATTTATTGTGAGAAAGAGAGCTTCTGTCTAAGAGGGACAGAAGGGGCCTGGAAAGTGAGCTGAACCTCTTCTCAAGGGTTTTTACTGAACCAAGTCACAAGACGAGGCAGAGTCAAGGTGGGACAAAGCTATAGTCGAGTGATAAGATTACAAGTTAGTTGCTTAGACAGTTTTGATTAAATGGGGATCAAGTTGAGAAAGCAGGTCACATAGCAAGCATACAAGGAACACTGAAGGATTTTCTGGGAATGTTGCAGAAAAACCAATATCAAACTGAATAGAAGACTCTCTCTGTCTCTCTCTGTCTCTCTTTGTTTCTCTCTCTCTCTCTCTCTCTCTCTCTCTTTCTCTCTCTCTCTCGGTTCTGGGATTCAAATTCACAACCTTGTGCTTGCCAGTTAAGTGCAATGGAAGACTCTTTGCACCAAGAAATGTAGAAGATAACTTGCTTATTACACTAGCAGGCTGGTGGAGCCGAGTCTAAATCACCAGGCCACATGTCATCTTTGAGCTCATTTTAAATACAGTTTGCAAGCAGGAAGTACAAGGAAGGTGGGCGGTTGCATGAATTGAACTAAGTCACATATTGTCAGGCAAGCTAATTCTAAATAGATTTACTTAAAGGAATTGCTTACCTTAATGTAGGAACATCCTGGGAATGGGGAGAGGGGGCTCAAGTTGTGCAAATAAAGTTAAGGCCATTCTTGACAGGGCCACTTTGTCCCATACAAGACCTTGAAGCAAGCCGGAAACAATATATATGCTTTTAATTAAGGACGATACAAGTTGGACATAGTCAAATTGGCCCACATATAATCAGAAGCAAAGCAGCTGGACTCTGACAGTCAGTGCTGACTGAACTTAGCAGGGTGCTTAAGTGACATGCAGCAGGAACACAGGCAGAGGCCACTATTTGATTTTTAACTTGCTATAACATGTCTGTAAGTTTGTTATTCTATAATTGTGCCTTAGTTGTTTTTAAAAATGTACCCTTTCAGGAAGGAATGGGCTAGGGAGGTTTTGATCCCCACCCAAGGTGACTGATTCCTATTTAGAATATCAATCCCTGCTGTTCATATTAGGGGAAGTATGTGAGTGCAGTAGTGCGTTACTCCAGCCACAGTTGTCTTCTGCAATGGTCACAAAACAGAATAAAGCAAATCAGAACAGAACAATGCAAGTGATACAGGACTTTAAATCAAGACAACAGGAAATCAGCAGTAGCTACCATAATATCTCTTGTTTCCTTCAAAATAGCTATCCATACAATCACACACAATAAAATCAAATGAAACAGAACAAAATCAGTCAAAACAAAGGCATAAAGGCATTAAGGACTTTAAAACAAAATCAACAATGGCTACCATAATGTATCTTGTTTCCTTCAAAATATCTGCCCATACCTTCACACATAATATAATCAAACAATACAAATGGACCACAACCAATCAAAACAAAAGAATGAAAGCATTACAGGACTTCAAAACAAGATAACAGGAAAGGAGCAAGAGCTACTATAATGGCTCTTGTTTTCTTCAAAATAGCTGTCCATACAATCACACATGATAAAATCAAATAAAACAGAACAGAATAAAACCAATCACGACAAAAGAATAAAAACATCATAGGACTTCAAAACAAGATGATAGGAAATCAACAGTGGTTACCATGTCTCATTTTCTTCAAAATAGCTGTCCATACTATCACACATAATAAAATCAAACAAAACAAAACAGAATAAGACCAATCAAAACAAAAGAATGAAAGCACTGTAGGTCTTCAAAATAAGATAATAGAAAATCAACAGTGGTAACCATGATACATCCCATTATCTTCAAAATAGCTGTCCATACCATCAGACACAGTAAAATCTAACACAACAAGACAGAATAAAACCAAACCTAACAGAATTATGAAAACAATACAAGAATTCAAAATAAGACAATAGGAAATTAACAGTGTTACCACTTGGCCTTTTTAGGTGTTTCCTCCCCTATCACTTTTATAATATCTATTGTGCTTTTTGGATCCCACTAACTCCTGCAACTTTTTATGCTAGAGTGATAACTCAATGTTTATCTGTATGAGTACAAACCATTTCACCCATGAGTATGATCTCCAGTTGTATCCATTTACCTACAAGACCTTCTAGATTACCCTACTTTATAGCTGGGTAGCTTTCCATTGTATGAAGATACTACATCTTTCTTCCATTCTGCAGGGGTGGGCAAGTTACCCTTTGCTTTTTTTCTGGCCTCCTGTTGCAAGGAACAATTGTTTTCTCTTCTTTGATTTTTCAGTCTATGAATTTCCTTTTGAGTTAATGCATTTCTTGTATACCACATACTGAAAGATCTTGTTTCTTGGCCCACTCTACCTGGTTCTTTTTATTGGTGAATTGAGCTATGTGCATTAATGGTTATGGCCAGCACGCACTGGTTCATCTCTGCCGTGCTCTTTTCCTGCCATGGCTCCCTACTTTTCTCCTGGGTTCAGCTGCGTGTCCCCCTCGGCTGCTGTTCCTGGGAACACGGTCACTTTTCTCTCTAGAACAACCTTCAGTGCTCTTTGTAGGGTTGGGTTGATGGTCATGGATTCCTTCAGCTGCTCTTTGTCATGGAAGCATCTTATTTCTCCATCTGTTTTCAAAGATAGTTTCACAGGGTACTTCAGTCTGGGTTGGAGGTTGTTTTCTTTGAGGATTTGAAATACTTTAAGCTCTTAATGGTTTGTGTTGAGAAGTCTGTCATGATTCTGATAGCTTTTCCTTTACAGGCAATCTGTTCCTTTTCTCTAGCAACTTTTAATATTCTGTTCTCGTGCTGAATTTCTGGGTCCTTGATTATTACACATCTGGGTGTACATTTATTTTGGTTATGGCTAGTTGGAGTTCTGCATGCCTTGCTTATCTGAATGCCAGATCATTTCCCCATGTTTGGGAAGTTTTCTGTTATTACTTCTGTAAATAGTCTTTTTATGTCATTTGTCTTGACCCCAGCTTTTTTGCTGATACTTGTCATTCTTAAATTATTTTTCTTTGTGTCATCTTTTTTTAATTTAAAAAAAAGCAAACAGAAAAATGGCTAGAAATGATACAGAATTTCAAAAAAATAACACTAAGACATTACCACTAGTTTATATATTACGTATTATCTTAGACATACTTATTCCAAAATCAAAGCATAAAAAATGAACAGACATGAAACAATGACAGTAAAAACTATTCTGTTTAGGGGCTGGGGATTTAGCTCAGCAGCATAAGTGCCTGCCTTGCAAGCAGGCAGTCGTGAGTTCAATCCCTGGTACCGATAAAAAGAAAAAAAAAAAACTATTCTGCTTGATGAGCTATCAAAAATTTATCTATCTTGCACATATACAGTTATAAGTGTACCTTCAAGTTGTTCTTTCCTTTCAATCACCTTGTTTCCCTTTCATTATTATAATATCTATTACATATTTCAGATCTTATTACTCTCTCAGTTATTATTATTATTTAGTTTTTACACTAGACAGAATATGATATTTACAAACGTGAGTCAGATTCATTTCACTTATGAGGATAGTCTCAAGTTGCAGCTGTTGAATTGCTATTTCTGGGTTCCTTGTTATTTTAAAGAGATCTTTCCTTTCATGATCACTAGCTGCAATCTTGTCTTCAAGGTCTAAAAATGTTTTTCAAGCAGTTTTGCCAGCTTTTCATTGACTTTAAATTTCCTAGATACTTTTTGAATCAGCTTCATGCATTGTAAATCCTTTCCATATTATTCACTCAAGGTTTCCATCATTTTCCTATGCTTCTCTTTTTTTAATCTACGTCTTTGTTTGATATGCTCAGCAATTCTTTATGTTTGTGACTTCTTCTTTTCCCTGAGGCATTACATGTGATCTAATTAGTTTACAGAGATGAAGTATTTTCTTTACTTCCTTCAGCTGCTGTCCTCTCGGAGATTTCTGGTGTGGTTTCTGTTTTCTTCCATGACTGTATCTCCCAGACTTGGTCTGTGTGGGCTGGAGGTCTCAGTTTGCCTTCTGCTCCTTTGTCTTGACATGCTTCTAGGTTCCTCCCAATAAACCAGTTGTGGGGCGCCAGGCACTTCCCACATTGGCGGCTCCTCTGCAGTGCAGGGGGATCGGGTAGGAACCTGGCTTTATCTGACCCTGATCCTAGGGAGGTAGCAGAGTAGAGTGGGCTTCTCTGGACTCCTGCAGCTACACTGAGGCTTCTCTGGTGACCGGGGGTACACGGTGGCAGGGGTACGTGGTGGCAGGGCTGCTTCTTTTCTCGGCCTGTGTGTCTATTGGGACTCCCCGAATGGTGGCAGCACACAGGGGTGTGTTTGTCTGATTCTCCCAGAGGGCACTGGCTGCCCAAAGGAAGTAAGGGTCTCCAGTAGTTGCCAGTGGGTGCATAGAGTGTATCTTACTGTGTGTCCCTACCTGTCCTGGCTGCCCACAGGAAGCAAGCTTTCTGATGGTGGCAGCAGGTATGCAGGAGTGGATCTGGCCGTGTGTCCCTGCCCGTGCTGGCTGCCTGCAGGAAGCAAGCCTTCCAATGGCAATAGCAGTTATGCAGAGATGGATCTGGCTCCCATGGACTCCACTTACGATTTCACTGTGCTGCCTGGGGTCTCTGTGTGTGTCAGCAGTTCATCGGGCAGGCAGGGAATTGAACAGTGCTTCATACTCAACTTTTGGATTTTAGTCCTATCGGCTGTCATTCTTCCAGGGCATCGTCCTCACTATCCAGCGGCTCTGCTGCTCTGAACCCTCTCCATGACACCTCGAGCCAGTGAGGCTGTGGATTTTTGCCCCTAGAGCTGGGGGTGTTGGGGAATAGCTAGTTACCTGCCGCAGACTGAGTTCCTATCTGATACAGCTGCATTTGTTTACGGGTGAAAACATTTCAAAAAAGTTGTTTTTAATAAATTTTTCCAGGTTTAATAATAAGTAAGGCTTTGCAGCAGATCCTGGGAGCAGTCAGGGACGCGTCACTGGAAACTGGTGGAATCTGAAAGAAATAAACTGGAGACTTAATTGCTGATGTAGTGTTTGAAGCCCCCTTGTATATATAATTTAGCTCTGTTTATGTTATTAAGTAGTTTACTTATTGGTGGTATGTTCCCGGGTATTTAAAAACAAGTAAAGTAAGACCTGTGTTCATTAAAATTTTCTAGATGCATTTGTCACACTCAAGGGTTACTTTTGTGTCTCTGCAAGCAGCAGAGCTGAGCTCCTCTAGTTATTTTCTCTTCCCGCTGTGTCATTTCCCAGGATGGGTCACAGTCTTGCTTGAGCATTAGTCTTTTTGGAAGCTTGGGGGACATTTCCTCCTTCAGAGCCTCCTTTCTGTAGCATGAACATTGACTGACCCCTGGCCCTCTGGGGTTTGACAATCAACCTGCCCAGGAGGTTGAGCAACTTGTGGGAGTTGTGGGGCCCTTTGGAGAGGGCGTCCATTATGCCCTGGATCATGGCTGACCTTAGAGTGCAGAGGGCAACAGTCAAAACATTGGCTGTTTGGGGCTGGGGATTTAGCTCAGCGGCATAAGCGCCTGCCTTGCAAGCAGGCAGTCGTGAGTTCGATCCCTGGTACCGACAAAAACGAAAAAGACAAAAAAAAAAAAAAAAAAAAAAAAAAAACATTGGCTGTCCTCTTGGCCCTTTTATTGTTTTTTTTAGCTTTGGTCTTCAAGCCTCATTTGAATATCTAGAAGGTTAGTTACACCAGTCTTAAAGTGGGAGCAGTATGTCATTTTAAAATAGGTTTATTTTAGATATATGTAATATTAACATTCATCACAGGAAATTTGTGCCTGTATGTGATACAACTTTCTTCTTTTTTTCCATTCCCCTCCCCTTCCTTCCTTCTTATTCTCCTTATTTATAGAAGCTTTTTTACGATCTTTTTACTTCTAGTCTCTTTTTATTCTTGTCCCTTCCCTCCTTCCCCCTCATCATTCTTGTTCCCCTCCCATCTAAACATTTTTTTCCTCATTTTCCAATATCTATTATACATTTTGGTCCTTATTTACACTTTTGGCATCTCACACCAGAGAAACAATGTGATATTCAAACTTGTGCATCCAATTGGTTTCACTGAAGAGTATGGCTTTAAGGTGCATCCATTTACATAGAAATGTTATCCTTCTTTGTGGCTAAGTAGTACTCCATTGTATAAAAAAATACATCTTTATCCATTCATCAGCTAATGGGTACTTGGGCTGTTTCCAAGATTTAGCTATTACAAACTGGGCCACTAGCAACAGGATTGTGCATGTATCTCTGTGGTATGATGCTTTTAGTTCTTTCAGGGAGATACCAAGTAGAAGGATACTGGGTTGAATGTAACCTCTAGTTTTTGAGGAATTGCCACACTGATCTCCACAGTTCCCCAGTTTGCAGTCTCCCCAGTGGTGAAAAAGGGCTCCTTTCCCCCACAGCCTCACCAGCATTTGTTATTGATTGACTTCATGATAATAGTTATTCTTTCTGGAATGAGATGGAATCTCAGTATTATTTTAATCTGCATTACTTGAATGATCAGTGATGTTGAAAATTTTTTCATATTTGTATTTTCCATTTTTATTTCTTCTGAGAACTATCTATTCATTTCAGATACCCATTTTTGGAATGGAGCTTTACATTTGGGTTTTTTCTCACGTGTTGTTGCTGTTGAGTCTTTTATGTACATTCTAGATAGTAGTCAGATGGCAAAAATTTTTTTCCCACATTGTAGTTTGTCTCTTCATTCTGTTGGAGGTATTTCATGCTGTGCAAAAGCTTTTAGTTTTCATGGTACTGGGAATTGAACTCAGGGCCTCATGCTTGCCAGCAGGTACTGTGCTGCTAAGCTACATTCCAGGCCCCTAAAATCTTTTTAAAAGATGAGGTTGAAGTTATTGATTCTTTGTCATAGTTCCTGTGCAATAGCGGTTTTGTTCATAAAGTCTTTGTCTACACCTGTTTCTTCAAGAATGGTACCTACTCTACCTTCCAGAATACTTTTATCTATTTCAAATTTAGTTTAGTACCTAGTGAAAGGTATGGATCTAGTGTTGCTCTTTAGCATGTGGAAAGCCAGTTTTTTCAGCACCATTTAGTAAAGAAGGTGTCTGGCTCTTTTGTCAAAGATTAGGTGACCGAGTGTGTTTGGAATTGTTTCTGCATCTTCTGATCTTTTCCACCGATCCTTGGGTCTGTTTTGTTGGTTTGTTTTGTTTTTTTTCCCAATACCATGCTGTTCTTATCACATTAGATTTGTAATATACTTTCAAGTCACAGATTGTGACGCCTTCTGTCTCACCTTGTTGTCCAGAATTTCTTTTGCTATTTAGGTATCTTTTAATTTCAAATAAATTTCAGGATTGTTTTCTCTAATTCTGTGAATTATGCTATTGATATTTTGATCAGCATTGGGTTAAATCTGTATAATAGTTTTGAAAATATGGCTATTTTCACTGTATTGGTTTCTCCTACCAAAGAACAAGTGATATCTTTTCATTTTCTGATCTCCATATCAATCTGTTTCAGAGTACTGTAGTTTTCAATGTGAAAGTCTTTTACCCTCTTCATTAGATTGATTCCTAGGTATTTCTTTTTTTTTTTTTTTTTGATGCTATCATGAAAAGTGTTGTTGCCCTAATTTCCTCTGTCAGTGAGTTTGTTCTTTGTGTATGGGAATGTGATTTATTTTTGAGTGCTGACTTTATATCTAATTATGCTACTGAATTGGGTTATGAAAAGTGTAAGTCTTTTGGTGGAGTCAAAACTTTCTATGTAGAATATCATGTCATCCACAAATAAGGACAATTGAACTTCTTCCTTTCCTATCTTTATTCCTTTTATTTCTTTCTCTTGTCTAATTGGTCTGGCTAATGTTTCCAGAACTATTTGAACAAGAGTGGTAATGGACATCCTTGTCTTGTTCCTGGTTTTAGAGTGGAAGCTGTCAGTTTTTGTCCATTTGTGTGATGTTTCTATGGATGTGTTTGGCTTTTATCAGGTTGAGATAAAAATTCTATTCTAATTTTCTGTGGGATTCTTATCATATTTGAGTGTAGGACTTTATCAAATGCATTTTCTGCATCTGTGAGATGATCATACAGTTTTTTCCCTTGACTCTGTTAATATGGTGCATTATATTTATTGATTTCATATGTTAAACTACTGCTGCATCTCTGGGATAAATCCTATTTGGTTATGGTGCATAATCTTCTTGGCGGCTTACTATATTTTGTTGGCCAGCATCTTATTAAGGATTTTTGCATCTATGTCCATTTAAGGGGATTGGCCTGTAGTTCTCTTTTTTTGGTTGGATTATTCTATGGTTTTGGTATCAGGGTACTGCTTGCTTCCAAAAACAAACTTGGGACCATTGCTTCCCTTTCAATTTCATTAAAGAGTTTGAGAAGTAATGGCATTAAGTGTTTTCTACATTTCTTGTAGAATTTGGGAGTGAATCCTTCAGGACCTAGGCATTTCTTTGTTGGTAGATTTTTAATTACATATTCAATTTCATTGATCAGTATTGATTTAGGATTTTATATCATCTTGATTCAGCTTTGACAATTCATTTGTATCTAGAGATCTGTCCATTTCTTCTGTGTTTACCATCTTATAAGAATAAACAGGCCAAGTGTGGTAATCCTAAAACTCTCGTGGCTGAAGCAGGTGAATCACTGAGCATTTGAGGACAGCCTGGACTTCGAGGTGAGTTCAAGACCAATATGAACTATATAATAAAACCCAGGCTCAAAAAGGCAAAAAAAAAAAAAAAAAATGGAGCTTCCTCAAAAAGTTATTGATGATCTTCTAGGTTTCTGTGGAATCTGTTGTGATTTTACCCTTTTCATTCCTAATTGGTTGGATCTGAGTCATTTCTTTCCTTTTTTTGGATAAACTTGGCTCAGGATTTGTCAACTTTACTTAACCTTTCAACCAACTATACAAATGATTGATTATTTGTATTTTTTAGTCTCAATTGCATTAACCTCTGCTCTGCTCTTCACAATTTTGGGCTTGATTTGCTCTTCTTTTTCTGGCAGTTTGAGGTGCTTATGCCACTGAGCTAAATCCCCAGCCCATAACATATTTTCTTACTTTTTTTTTTTTTTTTTTTTGGTGCTGGGGATCGAACTCACGACCTCGCATTTGCCAAGCAGGGCTTGCTCTATTTTTTGATATGGAAACTTACTGCCAAAATTTTTCCTTGTAAGTCTCCTTTCACTGTGTCCCATCAGTTCCAATGTATGGCACTGATATAATCATTAAATTGTAGAAAATGCCAAATTTCTTCTTTAATTTTATCTATAACTCATTGGTTGTTCAGGAGAGTGTCGTTTAATTTCCATGTGTTTTTATGGCTTCTTTTGTCATTGATTTCCAGTTTCATTTACTATGCTCTGATAATATGCATGGGATAATTTGAATTTCTTTGCATCTACGTAAGCATGTTCTATGAGCTAGTATATAGTCTATTTTGGAGAAAGTTCTGGGGGCAGCTAAGAAGAATGCATATTCTGATGTAGTGGGGTGGAACACTCTAAAAATAGTGGGGGACAGGGGGTTTTGAGGTCCTCCATTACAATTTATTATTATTTGATTTTTAATTTCCATTAGTATTTGTTTTATACATAGTTGGGTTCACTGTTATTTGGTATATATATATATATATATATATATATATATATATATATGATTGTTACTTCTTCTTCTTGGACCATTCCCTTTACAAGTATGGGATGATGTTCTTTGTCTCTTTTAATCAGTCTTGGCTTGAAATCCACTTTGTCTGCACATACAATAACAACTATTGTTTTTCTCCAAATTCCTGTCACATGGAGTATTGTTTTCTATGCTTTGATTTTCAGTCTATGAATTTCTTCAAAACTAAATGTGTTTCTCGTATGCATATGCAGCATATTGTTGGATCTTGCTCACGATCCATTCTGCCAGTCTCTTTCAATTGGTGAATTGAGACCATTTACATTGATGGTTAAAACTGATATG